GTTTAGTGTAGGTGGTATTGCATATTTATTTTCAAACACAATAGAGTATTAACCTATTAACCCCCTTATGGAAAATTTTATTTCTGAACTACGACAATGCGTACAACAATGAACACAATAAAACAATGCCAGATTAATGTCTATCTGTTTTGGATAAAACTGAACACACCTTTAGCAGCACTCACAGGACACTTTGAAAGTGTCGTGAAATGTGCAAGAAGCAACATAATATCATTTTGCAGAAATTTCGGGACCAGCACATTTTTCCAATGAGCATGGGTTAACTGTTTCAGTCATAAATATAAATTAAATAATTTGTACTTAATTTTTACTTAAAAGGTAATTTAGATGTTACAACATTTTTTTGGTTACTTGACAAAACATTTTTTTTATTATTATTTCAGTAGCAGAAATTGATGTTGGGCAGAAAATGTAAATTAGTAGATCCTGTAAAATTAGCTATTGGGGCAGAGATGCATTATTAAGAAGCCTTTCTGTGATGAGCATAAGCATAAACCTCATACACCCGAACTTAATGCATTTTTGCACAGTCATTGGCATTTAGCAGATGTTTGTAGCACTTGAGAAAAGTGTGCTCATGTGACCAAAAAAACCCCAGTATCATGCATAACACAACCCAAGTCATTTTTTAATAAAGCCAGGTGTCATTCTGAATAATGCTTTCTGTGAGTGGCACCATCCTGCGAGAGACCTCATGAGGGGTTTCACTTCCACTGAATCAATCTCTCTTCTGTGTGCTTTCATCACATAATTACTTATGGGCTAGTATCGCGTTCTATGCCAGTAGTAGTCAGGGTCTACAAAGAGTACGCTTGTGTTTTTTCATGAAGTTATTTGCCATGATTTTTAATGGTATGTATAAGGTCATTGGCTCCATTAATTCCTGAATATATTTTCTCATTTTGTGCAATGGAGCAAAAAAACCACAAGCACATAAAGGTCACCTGCGTGATATTTTCACTTTTGCCAGATCAGCCTATATCGAGGTAATTAGTATGATTTTGGCAGTTTCATGCTGATCACTATAAGGCTTTTTAGTGAGCCACTTAATTCTCCACATTAATTCAATGAAGACGGTGTCCTGTTGTCAACACTGTTCGTTGCAACCTTATTTATTTGATTGCGTGAAATGTATACCACACTTTCCTTAATGACCTCTTACTTAAGTGTTTAGACTAGCTGTTTTCAGGACTTGCGGGCAGCACCCCTCTGGGACCCGATGGTCTTTTCTGTAAAGCATCACTTAGAATTTATAACATCTGCTCATTTCTGTTATTTCTGTCAAATTTAATTGAGCCTTTATTTATTTATTTTATTGCAATTTTGCTAATATAAGTTGTTGTTGTCGACACTAGATGGCTTTTCTGTCTTCACCGCATTACATTTCTGCACCGCACCGAAACTAAAATAAAATGAATAGTTTTTTGTTGCTGATCATTTGTTTTAATTTATTCATATGTGAACAGTTTATAATTTCAGCTATTCAGTGAGTAATGGACTGGTGGGATCCCAACATCTATGACAATTATATCTTACAAAATCAAAAGTCAACACAAAAATCAATGATTTCCATGATTTTGAAACATTTTAAATACAGGTTTTGCAAAGCTTGTAGAGTTGCATGCAGCTTGAGTGCTGCTGTCATTATATTTTGCCACACTAAACTTAGCAATAAACACGTTGAAAATAATGCACAATAAACATGTTTGTCAACACAATCTCAAAGGAGGCTTTTATTTAGCAAATCAAAGAGTGAATTGCTCATCCACTGTTTTAAAACAAAACAAAAATACATTTGTTGGGCTTGATACTTTTCATTTAATAAGTCTTACTGAAAAATAGACGAATAAACCGTTTAATAATGTATAATGTATGCATTTAGCAGACGCTTTTATCCAAAGCGACATGCAGTACATTCAGGCTATACATTTTTTTTACCAGTATGTGTGTTCCCTGGGAATCGAACCCACGACCTTTTGCGCTGCTAATGCAATGCTCTACCACTGAGTCACAGGAGCTTTGTTCTTTGTAAATTAAATAACATTTGGATGTAAATGGTCTACATAAAAGTAGAACACTGAGCCGCTAAAACGACTGTGTCTTGTGGATCACCTTTATCTGTCTAGTGTCCGGGTCCGGAGTCATCAACACATTCGGAATCTTCAGCTGACTTGTTTCGTTATCTCCAGATTTCTCTGCAGTTCGTGTATGTTGTAAAAATGCTGAATATCCTTTTATGCCACACAGCAGGCCAGCATTATATCAAAGATTTTCTGCCAAAATTAACTACATTATGTGCATATTTACTTCTTATTTGAAAATATTTATTTATTATTATTCTTTATAAAATATTTAGTAAAGTCACTGCCCCCTTGGCACACCACAAGCTATGCCCATGCATAAAAGAGCTTAGAGGATTGTAGAAGCAAGAAGTTTGCTTTTGTTAACACTATAAGGTAGATTTAGGGTAGGGTTTAGTGTAGGTGGTATTGCATATTTATTTTCAAACACAATAGAGTATTAACCTATTAACCCCCTTATGGAAAATTTTATTTCTGAACTACGACAATGCGTACAACAATGAACACAATAAAACAATGCCAGATTAATGTCTATCTGTTTTGGATAAAACTGAACACACCTTTAGCAGCACTCACAGGACACTTTGAAAGTGTCGTGAAATGTGCAAGAAGCAACATAATATCATTTTGCAGAAATTTCGGGACCAGCACATTTTTCCAATGAGCATGGGTTAACTGTTTCAGTCATAAATATAAATTAAATAATTTGTACTTAATTTTTACTTAAAAGGTAATTTAGATGTTACAACATTTTTTTGGTTACTTGACAAAACATTTTTTTTATTATTATTTCAGTAGCAGAAATTGATGTTGGGCAGAAAATGTAAATTAGTAGATCCTGTAAAATTAGCTATTGGGGCAGAGATGCATTATTAAGAAGCCTTTCTGTGATGAGCATAAGCATAAACCTCATACACCCGAACTTAATGCATTTTTGCACAGTCATTGGCATTTAGCAGATGTTTGTAGCACTTGAGAAAAGTGTGCTCATGTGACCAAAAAAACCCCAGTATCATGCATAACACAACCCAAGTCATTTTTTAATAAAGCCAGGTGTCATTCTGAATAATGCTTTCTGTGAGTGGCACCATCCTGCGAGAGACCTCATGAGGGGTTTCACTTCCACTGAATCAATCTCTCTTCTGTGTGCTTTCATCACATAATTACTTATGGGCTAGTATCGCGTTCTATGCCAGTAGTAGTCAGGGTCTACAAAGAGTACGCTTGTGTTTTTTCATGAAGTTATTTGCCATGATTTTTAATGGTATGTATAAGGTCATTGGCTCCATTAATTCCTGAATATATTTTCTCATTTTGTGCAATGGAGCAAAAAAACCACAAGCACATAAAGGTCACCTGCGTGATATTTTCACTTTTGCCAGATCAGCCTATATCGAGGTAATTAGTATGATTTTGGCAGTTTCATGCTGATCACTATAAGGCTTTTTAGTGAGCCACTTAATTCTCCACATTAATTCAATGAAGACGGTGTCCTGTTGTCAACACTGTTCGTTGCAACCTTATTTATTTGATTGCGTGAAATGTATACCACACTTTCCTTAATGACCTCTTACTTAAGTGTTTAGACTAGCTGTTTTCAGGACTTGCGGGCAGCACCCCTCTGGGACCCGATGGTCTTTTCTGTAAAGCATCACTTAGAATTTATAACATCTGCTCATTTCTGTTATTTCTGTCAAATTTAATTGAGCCTTTATTTATTTATTTTATTGCAATTTTGCTAATATAAGTTGTTGTTGTCGACACTAGATGGCTTTTCTGTCTTCACCGCATTACATTTCTGCACCGCACCGAAACTAAAATAAAATGAATAGTTTTTTGTTGCTGATCATTTGTTTTAATTTATTCATATGTGAACAGTTTATAATTTCAGCTATTCAGTGAGTAATGGACTGGTGGGATCCCAACATCTATGACAATTATATCTTACAAAATCAAGTCAACACAAAAATCAATGATTTCCATGATTTTGAAACATTTTAAATACAGGTTTTGCAAAGCTTGTAGAGTTGCATGCAGCTTGAGTGCTGCTGTCATTAAAGCAAAAGGGGGACAATAGCAAAATTTCAGAAAAATTTTGTGGGTCCATTGTCTTTTTGTCAATGGTGTAGTGATGTTCAACTTTTCACTGTACAGATAGAATTTTATGCTAATAATATTATTTGTAAAAAAAATTATATTAAATGAGAATAGAAATGCTAAAAATAGAATAAAATAGAAAATGCTAAAAAGCAGTATTTTTACTGGTGGTCTCAGATTTTTGACTGCATTGTATGTAATAAATTAATAGACTTCGGGTAACACTTTAGTATAAGAACCATTTCTCACTATTAACTAGTTGCTTATTAGCATGCTTATTATTAACATATTGGATGTTTATTAGTACTTAGCACACAGTTTATTAGCACATATTCTGCTGCATAACCATATTCTACATCCCTAATACCCAATACCTAAACTTAACTGCCTTACTAACTGTTAATAAGCAGCAAATTAGGAGTTTATTGGGGCAAATGTCGTATTTAATTGTTTGTTAAAAGAGAGAATTGGACCTTAAAATACAGTGTGACCAGACTTTGCACTTTTCAGTTATTTGCAGTGTCTGTGAAAGTACTGCACTGAGTCAGGTACAATAAATTATGACTTTATTACAGTAAGATCGAAACAGGTGCAAAAAGAAAAAAGAAAAAAAAACATCCGGTGGTACTCTGTCACAATATGATATGATAGTATTCAAACTGTTTCAGAATTGATTCATTGTGATGAAATGAGACATTTGTGTGTTAGGTACCATATGTGCATGAGTGTGTCTGAGAAGCAGTGTAATGGCCTGCAGTGTTACATGTATCCTTTCTAATGTTAATATTTGTGTTTTTTTAGGGTGTCCTACTCTGTTCACGTCTCCGATGATTATCCAGGTATTGCACACATAATTTGATGGATTATTTGATAAATGGATGGATCATACACTGAAACTTTCACCACTCCTCTGTATATTACAATAAGGACCAATAGACCTTTAACACTAGCCCTACTGCTTACTTAGGAGTTTAGAAAAAGCTTTAACTCCAAGTATTTCAATTTGCCATGTAACTCGTCTTGCAACATCTGCGCTAAGGACAAATTGGGGAGTAATGTTATGGTTCAAAACAATTGGATTCAGCTGGTCAGTGATAAAACCAGCAAAAAATGCCATAGACTTTCATTGAAGTAGGGACACAGGCCATATCTTGGGACCAGAATATTATATAGAGTTGGCGGTGAACTTTATATGGGCCAGTGAGGAACCACTCAGAACACCCTATAGCGTCCACATAGAAATGTGCTAAAAACCATTCAGAACACAAGCAAATGCATAACAATACCCTGCCAAGTACCAACAACACTAGCACTGTGGCAGTCTGTTAAAATATAAAAGTATAGTTCATAATGTCATTTACTGCATATATACCTGACCTGATAGGAAAGATGATGCAGGGTCTACTGTGTAAAGTGACAGCTGATATTAAAAAACCAGTGCTAATATGGCTAAACTGCAACATGCTCCGCTTCAGTGTTATGAAGTGCTGTACCGCAGCTGCTTTATACTCCTAAATCTTTTCCTGTTGTCTCGTTTCTGTCACGTAATTATAACGGCACAAGTGAACGGCAGTATTTGTTTTCATTCTCTTGTGGGCCATAAAATGACAACACAAGGTATAGTGATAACGCTGGATTTTTGCTTTTAGGTAGCTGGTTTTCAGTAGTTTCCCAGTGCAGTCAGTTTTTTTTGTCTTTGCTTAGTTAGATTTTTTTTAAATAGTAAACACAAGTTGAACATTTATCCCCCTCAAAACACACACGCATTAAAATTGCATTTTGCTGTGAAGCCTAAAATTTACACACAAGAGTTGTCCCTTAAATCTAAATATAGAAGATGCAGACCTCCTTTTTGCAGGACTTAGTCTAGCCTGAATCACAGCATAGTGGCAGACAGTCAGCTTTGCATAAGAATTTGCTTGGCTCAGATTTAGACAACATTGCCAAAGAATGCCGTTGGGGTGAGTGCTTTAACCTGAAAATAGTGGATTGTCTAGAAACTGTAGAATTAGCACATTTCTCTCTTCACTCTCATTTGGAGTGTTTCTATTTATTATGTATAAGTTGCAGGTTAATGGTTTTGGTTACCACTGCCAGGCTTGATTACACTGTTAGATCTTCTTCAGGTCTACTTTTCTAGGTATTTTAAAAGCACCTGCTTGTCCTTGTCATTTCAGATAACACATATGTATCTAACTCTGAAAACGATGATGAAGTGTTAGTCACCAGGGATCCAATACCAGTGATTTTCCACAGAATTGCAACAGGTAAGAATCGTTACCATCTAATAATGAATCATAAAAGAGCTGCAGCTGAAGAAAACCAATGAACCAGTTGAATGATCAGGTATTTTAAAGTCACACCTAAGGGAAAAGGAAACCAGCAGCCTCCCAGATCCAGAGTGTACGTCAGTAATATTTCAGTCATTATAAACTTTGGTCAAGGCCAGCTGAATATTTTAGCTCCAACCCTGAACTACCATGATTCCAACACTTACGCAATCAAATTTCATTGAGTTGGCTCAGAGTTTGAACAATATAATCCTTCAGATCTGCCATTATTAATGATGGTCAGTAGACCATTACAAAAAAAGCAGTGGAAGCACATGGTACTGAATGTATACCATATTCATGTAAATACAGCATTTAGATTGTACTCAAAGGTACCACAAATACAACCATGATATACACAAGACACTACCGTTTAAAAATGTTGCTGTCGGCAAGATTTTTTTCAAATGTTTTTGAAAGAAGTTTCTTATGCTCACCCATTTATTTTTATCAGAAATACAGTAAAAACATTCATATTGTAAAATATTATTGCAAATTTAAGTTTTCTTTTTAAATTTATCTCTGTTTTATTTAATTTTTTTTTTTATTTTAATGTAATAATAATGCTTCACTGCTGAATAAAATTATTTATTTCTTCTTAGAAAAAATCATATTGTCCCCAGACTGTTAAACGATAACGTATGCCCAAAAAAAGAACATGGTAATGCAGTGGTACATTTTAGTACTTTTTTTGTATTCACATAGTGTTAGCCAGTCTTTCTCTGTTTTTGGAGCTCTTTGATTACACTGGCAGTAACTCTGGAAATTATCCTGGAATTGTACTGCATTTCTTCTGCTCCTATTTTTAGGACCAACCAAGAAGTATGTGCCAAAACAAAGTGGCAAAACAGCAGAGATCTTGGCTAATTTCCCCTAGCAGTTAGTTAAACCCTTAAAGGTGCACTAAGCGAATTTTGTCAAACGATGTTGATATTTTAAAGCACCAAAACAAACACGCCCATACCCCAACAGGACCTCGCCCCTATTTTGATAACTCCGCCCCTCACGTATTTACACAACCCTGACAGCGACGATGGCGGAATCTGCTATGCCTGCCGGCCGAGGGTATGATGTCATCAATAAGTGAAAGTGATGCGTGTTATTATGGTAATTCAACATAAAAATCAATGTAACTCACCGATCAAGAAGAAACAAAGCAACCTCGGCGTCCGATTCCAGGCTTTCCTGCTCCTTGAGTTCTCTTCACCGCTGGAAAGCTGCTCCAATATTTACGCAGGTCCTACCTCTTGCCTGATCATAACCCTTATTTTTAATGTTTTGTTCCTCCAAAATTTTCCTCTTACTGCTTACGCCCATTACTGCTGATTGGCAGCGAGTGTGTTTTGGGACTCGGTGCGACACTGTGGTCAAGCGTTTTTCAAATATTGCTTAGTGCACCTTTTAATAGATGCTTGTCATGCACACCTAATAGTTTTCCAATCCACACATTTAATAAAAAAGTGTTGACATCTTCCGGCACAGTACATTACAACTAATGAGCCTGTGCACATTCTGCTGATGGATCTTGGATGTGCAAACTTTGTCAGTTGTAAATGTTTTCTGACACGGACCTCTGTATAAACATATCTATTTTTACTCGGAGGTGTTGAAAAATGCAAGTACCACTTCTTTGGTCAAGACCTCACTGTTCTATTAGCACTTTAATGTGGCAGTGTGTTATCCCAGATTTGTGATTCTGAGCTGTGATTGTAGGTTTTGTGGTTTGGAATTGTAATGGAATTGACAATAAAAACTAGTCTTTTAGTAAGACCTGCATTGTTTCAGTTGAAATGTTTGTATTGCCATCACCATACACACATATGGTCTACACAAAACAATGGTTAGAAAGTTTGTATATTCAGGACATGACCAGGCCTGTCACAGGAATTATGACAGATATGATCTTAATCTGAAATTCTCAGTTCACAGTATCATGCCATCCTCACACATCTGTGCTTTCACTCTACTCTGTCTTTAGAAATACGCAAAAATAATGATGCCACCAGCTGTCTGTCTATTAAATCAAAACTTCAAACTGACAAAAATGCGGTAAGAAATTAAACCATAATTTTTACTTTTATCATAAAATGTCTTATTTACAAATGTGAGGTATATCAAGGAGTCAGTTGTATTGTGACTAAAGCCCTCTCTTGCTTTTGAAACCTTTCCAGTGCCATTATGCTATAGAGGAGGATTCAGAGGGTGACAATGATTCAGAGGAGTTCTACTATGTTGGACAGGTAAGTTCAGCTTAGTCACTACACTACATTTATGTACATAACATTTCAGTCTGTGGAATCTTTTTGTGCAGTCTTATTGACTAACCACCTACAATCCATATTAACCAAGTAATAAATGTGTGAGTATTCCAGCTAAAGTGTTGTCATAATTTTCAGTGTATACATGCCTTTTTTTTTTACATTACTGTTCAATGTTTTGGAGGAAACAAAAGAATACTTATATTCTATACTTCTTACTGAATTCTCTCACAACAGTCTAATATTAAATGGCTTTTTTATGACACTCATTGGTGCAGAATGAAATTTAGAAGCATGTGCAAATGTGACCTTTAGTTATAGGGATAATAGTGAAAGATTCAGAGTTGGAGTTTGCTGAACAATGTCCTGTTCACCATGTGAACCTCTGCCTCACGTGGTCAGTGCAACTAAACTTCCTAAGGTATTACAGGTATAAAACCAGCTTCAAACCCACAGCACCTGGGGCTTCACACTTTTCATTTCATGGTAAATTTACCTAAAGTAGTTTGCAGCTCACATAAAAGAACTTTATAACTCTCTTAACTTTTAATGATTAGTCCCTCACTCTTCTGAGAAGGTTTCCATCCTGAAAATGAATGTTTGCACACATGGATTGTGCTTACATTAATCATGTGACCATCCACTGGAGCAAATCCATAAAGCTGGAGTGAGTGAGTGAGATTTGTGTGCTCTGTGAAGACCAGTCCTAAGGTGATGAAGATTCATGCCCTAATGCCTGTGCCATCACTGGCTCTTGCTCACTGTAATGTGGCAGTTTTGCAATCCTTTGCTGTTCTGATGATCTCAAAGCCTTCGGGAGACTCTTCCATGCCACATGCTGGCAGATTCTCTCTGAACTTCAGGACAGCTGGGGAGTTTTCTTGATCTCTGTTGTACTGAATATTTAAAAAGACCAGTGCTTGAAGTGGGCGGTACGCAGTATACCGGCTAGGGATGTAACGATTAACCGCGAGCCGGTTGAAAATCGATTCAAATATGTGACGATTCAAATCGGTTGAGATGCTAAACAAATCGCGATTCAGTTAGAGGTAGGAGTTTATATGAATCCATGTCTGAGGGGAACTTATTTCACAAAGAAATGTGCAGCATTTTGTCCAAGCAATAATAAAAGGACACATTTAATTTATAATTTGTCTTAAATCCCATTTTGTAAAAAACAAAAAAAAACAATTGCGAATCGAATCGAATCGTGAAATCAAAATCGTGAATCGAATCGTGAGTTCAGTGAATCGTTACATCCCTAATACCGGCACTTCTATATATTAATCTTTAGTGTACCGGCACTTTTTCGTGTGTACCGCCACTTCTGACATGTTGCCAGTTCTCAGAGTCAAAGCATCAGTGTCTTTAGTGATTAGAAACTACACTATATAAATCACACCACTCAGGTGGGGGCACTAAGTGCATTACCTCTCATCTCTATGAATCACGTGAATGCAAGCGGAGTCGGTCTACCTGTCAGGGGTTTTCAAAGTGTGGGGCACAAGAGCATGTCAGGGGAGGCGTGCAGAGTAGTTAAGAATAGCCTAATTAATTCTTGATTACTAATTTGAATCAGTACATTATAACGAAAGCAATACCTTAAAATGAAAAGAAGCAGGTTTTTGCGTTCAGATAATTTTAAACTGGTAAACTCCTGGAAATTTTTCGGTCCAAGGATCCAGTAAGCGAATGCATTCAAACATTAAGTCCAAAAACAGCGCTAATGCAGAGAATATTTGTATTAAAAATGCTGTAAACAATATTTATTTATTTAATTTTGTGGCACTATATTAGGCCTGGGGGATAAAACGGTATTGATATTTATCGACGGTACACCTTCTCCGATAACGGTATAAAAAATGTTCGATATAGTGCACGATATAGGCACGTGCTATGAGTGACGCAGACAACACACACAAACACGAACACATGCTGAATTGAGTGCTGTGCCTGCCTGTGATGAGGAGATTGTGAATAAAAAAATGAATATTAGTCTAATTTAAAATAAACATTTGCATTTGAATGTTAGGTGTGCGTCAAGGAGCGTCATCAGTGGCCCGCGAGATGCGGTGATAATGATGTAAGTGACGTTGTTGCATTTTAATGTTTTGTTAGTCTAGCCCACGAGATGCGCCGCTGCTGTGTTATGCATTCAAAATATTAGAGAAATATAGAAGCTCAATGCGGAGAAGATCTTTATTAGGTGAAAACCGAAACCAAGCCATCCACACAGATGCATATTCAGCGCATTTTTTAGACGAACAAATATGACTGCTGCACTTGCGTCTCACACGAGATGTAGCCAT